CATCTTCTTACTGCCACCGAGTCGCCTGCTATGAGCTTTAGAATTTGGAAAAAAAGTGAATTGAATTTGTCAAAAAATCAATGTTTTAAGTTTTTCGATAATAACTCGAATAGTAATAAATTTTTTTATGATTTTATTGCATAATAAGATGCACGCAACCATTGCGCAACTTTTTATGTAAGAAAAGTTACGTAATGTTCGTTACGTAACAGAGAAACGACGTTTTTTCGATTTTTTTTTCCAGTTTTTCATGAATTTCTCGACAACCCCTTAAGATAATTACATCATCACCACTCGTATGAAAGCTGAATGTTTCACCTTTCCAACGAGCCTACATACATCTTCGTGTTGTCATCGAGTCGCCTGCTATGAGCTTTAGAAATTGGAAAAAATGAAAAGAAAGAATTGTTCTTCTGTTAACGATAAAATATATATTTTTTATAATTCAAGATAAAAGTGTGTTGTTTGTGCGGCCTTTAAACTTGCGTGGGGCTCTGCCTGGTGATCGGCCTAACCGCGACCGGACGCAACCCCCATCTCTTGGCCGTGTACTGAACGTATCCGGGTTCCCCGGGACTGCTCGGCAACGTCGCACCGCCATCCGAGGCTTCCGGTTCTTTGGTCGTCGGGTATAGAAAGTGCGGCGCGACAACGTCGTACTTTCCGTAATGCCCCTGCTGGATTTTACTCCAGACGGGAGAATGCTCTTCCGGTTCCGCCTTCTGCGGTCTCGCATCTTCCAACTGCTCCTCCACCTTTTTCTCCTCCATCTCCACATCCTTCCCGTATATGTCGAACCTCTTCGCGCTCTCCTCCACCTCTTTGATCCTCCCGTTGCGTTCGTTCTCCACACGCGCAAACTCTGGCTCCAAGTCGAAAGGTTCACCTCTCGATTTCATCTTGTGAATTTCCAGGGCGCGCGTTATGCTTCTCGGCTGCTGCTGTTGCTGCTGCTGGTGAAGATCGATTCCATTTGGCATTGCTTTAGCCCTAGGTCCTGCCAAGTCCAGCAGGAAGAGCGCTCCGGTCGTCAAAGACAAAGTTCCTAGAATTGCGGCGTTGTCGATCAGATCTGGGGGAACAGAGTCCAACGACGCAAACTCTAAACTCCCTAGAAAAAAAAACAAAAAAAACTTGTTAATTGTTTGTAATCAAGTTGAAAGATGTGACGTTGGTTGCCTAAAACGACGAAGAGGATGGCGCCGATGCCCAAGAGGATGATCTCCACGACCCTCTTCTGCGTAGGCAATTCCCCGACGAGCCGTCCCACGAGAAGCGCGCACGTTATGATCAGATACCCTCCATAGGTGGCGTCAGCTACTGCGGATCCCACCTTCCCCCACGTCACGTTGTTCAGCAGGCTCCACTCCCTGGACAACCTCTGCAGGTACAGGAAAACGCTGGCCGCTTCATCGTCGGTCACCCTCTTCGTGATCAAACAGGATGTAGCGAAAGCCTACAACAACAACAACAACAAAAGTAAAACCGTGCGACTGGCGATTGTTTTTTTTTTTTACGCTGGGAAGAAACGAATTCCCATCTGTTTTGTTACCAACTCCGCTAATTAGTAACTTTTTATTGTGTTGCTGCATTCACCTATCGTTTAACAAAAGATGCACGTAAAACAAAACAACAAAAAAAAAACAAATGTCAAATTTGAAGTGTGATGTGCGCGGTTTCTCTTTTCGTCGCGTACGGATCGATCGATTTATAAAAAAAAAAGTAATAATAAAGAGAAGTTCGAGTTAACGATGATGATGATGATGGTGGTGATCGCATCCTCATCGTCGTCTGATCACGGTAATGAAAGAAGAAAAAAAAACTTTCGCGCGCGTGAAATCTGCCCGGTTCGGTTCTCCGTGCCCGATTTACGTATCCATGGTTACGTTAAGTAAAAAAAAAAATGAAACTTGAAAAGAAAGAAGAAGAAGAAGAAGAAGACGCAGAAAAAAAAAATGAATATCGTGCGAAAGGCGATTTTCCAGATTGCAAGAAAAGAGAAAGAGATCACTTGAGATAATATACACTTTCCTGAATTTATTAATGATTGAATTAACGAGGACCGTCGATTTGATTTTAGCTGAGAAAATCATGAGGTGAGATTCAATATATTATACGAAATGACGTTATTCGATTGTTACAATGAGAAACTGAGATGCAATCGTTAATCAATTTTTCCTCGCGCCGATTTTCGTGTCCATGGCAACCGACATTCATCTTTTATTTATTATTTTTTTTGTTGCCTTGTTTACGACGACGCCATTACGCAATTACGTGAATCACCTGGACGCGTTGCGTAAGTGTCGAAGAGCGCTTCGAGGACGCTAATTAATTTGAAAGATGTGAGAATGCGAACTCACCACTTCGAAGATCTTCAGCAGACTCCACTTGTCGAACCGGAGGCCCATCTTATCGCATCTTTTGCGCTCAGTTCTACTGCTGAAACAGAAGAATTAATTGAAAATGCGTTTTTTTTGCGTGCTTGAGCACTTCTCTCATGTTTGTTTGTTTGTTTGTTTATTCGCAATTGTGATTTCTCCGACAGCTGCGACGCTCAATTTCGACGGGAATGTCGAGCGCACGTAAATAGGTAGATTCGTTTATCGCTCGTCGCGACACACTTAATGGAAATGCTTGCAAATTTATCAATTACGAGTGATTTTTATTTGTGTAATTCGGGAATACTGATCGAAGAATGCGGTAAAATATTTTGACAGCATCGATTTCAATAATTTGAATTAAATTTTGACAACGGGCGACTTGTTTTTATCGTATTGGACACTAAATACTTACGATCGAACGCTCTTTCTTACACTTTTGCTTGTTCAAAGTCTTCTTGGCGAATTGAGAAGCACCGGAGGGAAACGCACTGAAAGTCCAAATGACAATTAATTAGTTGCGTTGATTACTTAGTGCGCGCGGATAACGAAAGTGGGAAAGTGAATATGATCGGGCGGTGCAAGAATTATAGGAGAGAAAAAAAAAGGAAGCGCGCGACGACTTGCGGCTGCTGCTGCGTTTTCGCGTATAAAAGTGACGTTTTATCGAAACATAACATATTCCATTCCTATCTACCTACCTACCTCCCCCCCCCTCGTGGATCTCGTTCGACCGTTTTCCCCACCTGGGGACGTGCAGGAGTCGCCTTCTCGGTCGTTTCCCTTTTGCGCCCTACTTAAGTGCAGATAACTCACTTTCCATTGTTTTACATTTTGTTTCGTTTCGCTTTTTTTTGTTTTGTTATATTTTGTTTTTCGAACACACCTGCCGCCGCCGATTTGATTTACTGACGTCCCAAAATTAACAATAATTAGTTAGGTGCAGTTACAAACAATCTAGTTGCAATCTATATAGTAAGTAATTAAACGTTTTCGTTTATGGAAATACCGAAATGCTTCTAAATATTACTAATGCGAAGCTGCGAGATGCTAATTAATTACAGAGTCCGCAAACCGCGATGATCGTTCGGACGTGAACGTGAGTAATGCACACACATGTGTTGTAACGTAACTTAACGCAATTACGGAAACAATAGCGGACGAACAACGATGGCCATCCGAGATGCGAGAGAGTAGTACCCTTGACACATGCCCCTTATTTCTTTTGTTTTCATCTCTTTTTCCCCCCTGCATCCGCGCCATCCATTCGCACGGCTCCGTTTCCACAAATCGGAAGAAACGATCATCAAATTTGTCTTTCCACTGTTTTCTTCACTCGATAAACGATTGTCGCTAATTCTTTTCGTTTGTTTTCGCTATCACCATGGAGATGAGTCAATTCAATACCTGAGAACGGGTTGCGTGATTAGTTTTTGTTTGTTTTTCGCTTGTCTTCATTTCATTTGTTTGTTTGTTTGTCTCGGGGCCCGCCGTCATTTAATTAACTACTGGTATTGTGAGCGAAGGTTGCGTAAGTCGCGTTTAAATTAATTGCCGTTTCGTCATTCCACTTTTAATTCAATGTCGCATTTAAATATATTTATTTATATAAATTAAAAATTATAGTCATTAAATTGAAGAAAAAAAAACAGTGTTTTCGCATTTCAGTGATTTTCTCGAAAACTATTACAATTAGGATTGATTCAAAAGATGTATATGAAATTTGGATATTTGGGGAATAAGCTGTAATAAGCGTTCAAACTTGATGAAATGAAACAAAAATAACACTTAATAAAGCACATTTTAGTGATTTTCTCGAAAACTATAATAATTCAAAATTGATCCAAAAGTTCATATGAAATTTGAATATTTAGAAAATGTTGCGAGTAGGCTGTTTTTAAAACCGGTTTTTATTGATAAATTAATTATTTGTTTAAAAACATAAACATTATGAGAAATAGTTTGCGATTCGGTAAACAGTTAATATTATTAGTATTTTTTTTTTATTAATAAACGAAATTAGTAAACTTTAATTTAATACTTGTAACTTACCAAGTAAAATAACATCAATTTTATAAAATACTCAATGAGCAGAAGAAAATAGTAAATTTTTAAATATTTGATAAATTTGAATTCAAATAAAAGTGTTAGAACATTTCCATATTCGATAAAAAAATGAAGTGAATTGCTTTGTATGGTTTTAAAAGGGGGCGGTGTTTGCGTTTAAACAATTCTTATTGGGCCACGAAAAGAGAGAAATAAGTAAGATAAGAAAGTAATAAAAACTTGGACGATTTCTATAGGAAAACGTTTTTGCGTGTCTCTATGCGTCGCGATTAAAATCAGTAGATGCAGCTGCAAATCACATCGCTAAATGCTAAACGAGGGATCGGTTATGCTCGGCTCTTTTCGTTCTTAACAATTCTATTGGTTCTAATATGATCAGGTAGGCTGGGCACACTGAAACCGTCATTGGTGGCTCATCACTAAATATTTTTTGTTTTGTCCAAATCTAAACCAAACGAAAATGGGGACGAAAATGCTCGAAAAAGTAGTGTTTTTA